TTCACGCGCTTCGCGCCGATTGTCCTCATTTTCAGTTCTCAATGCCCCACCCCGATTTGCCTTCGAATCCCCATGGAATTCGAAAGCAAAGTAAAAGCCATAAAAAAACTTTTTTTATTGGCTAAAAGTTGTAAGCAATTCAGTCAAAACAGTAACTACGACCAATACCACGTCAATTCCATTCGGGTGTTCAGGATATAGTCAAGAGAATATAAAACATTCTCTTGATATGGTATAGCCAAAAACAACTTGCACTCTGGATATGACTCAATTTTAAAAACATCTACAAAATAGATGAAAATAGTCAGTGCTGTAGGTTAGTCCTTGCGCAGAGTCCCAGTCAATGTTGTGGTTGGTAAGTCGATGGTGTTCAGCAATCTGATTGCTCAAAACCATGAAGTTTATAACTTGTTTAAAATTCGGCGCCAAATGCTTCAGGAACCTTCACCATTCGATAGCAGAAACATATTTATTTCTGTGTACCAACCGACTTGTCGAACTTGTACCTTATGCGCTTGATTAAGAGTCGTTTGATTTTGATGCAAATTCTCTCCATATGGAAAACTAATACACTCCCACTTACAACTGATTTGTCGTGCTTACTTTTTTGTCATCTCTTTTTTAACAAACGCACCCTCCTATATTACTCGATCGATCGCGCTCTTAGGTTTGTAACGCTTTTCCAGTAGCTTCTATCTTCCCCGCATTGATACCCTCTTTCAGAACCCTCCCTTAAAATATGCCAGTCAGAATCCTTGTTAGAATGGTTCAAATAGTCTATTGGTATAATAAACAAAACTCAGACAGTCCATTTCGTTTTCTCTTTCGTAATATTCGTCTCTATCACTTGATAATAATCTTCGTTAATTACGGTGCTTGTCATATTTACGAGTTTTCATTTGGATCTACTGTTGCTACTTGCCACCTCGCTTGTTCCGAAATGTCACTTTCTATCCCCTTGTAATTAGTGCTCCTACAGATTGTTCTGTATCAGTTGAAGCCGAAAGCTCGATTTCACGCAGGTCATGCAAGACCTAATGGTCAATTTACGAAAAAAAGCTCGAGAAAAGTCAGCGAAATGATCCGAAATTGTGCAAAGTAGCTGGTTGCGTGACAGGTTTAGCTTTGTGTTTTGTACTCAAGTAAAAACACCTATGAGGGCGCGCGTTATATCCGAACTTTAACATTGACAGATGTATTCAAAATCGAGTCATATCCAGAGTGCAAACTGTTCTTGGTTATACTATATTAAGAGAATATGCTCTTGACTATATTTAGAATATCAGAATGGATTTGACAGGTATTGATCGTACTTACTGTTCTGACCGAATTTCTTACAATTTTTAGCCTATAAAACATTCCGTTTTGGCAGTGCATTTCGTTTTCTCTTTGCTAATATTCGTCTCTATCACTTTATAATTACTTTCGTTAATTACGGTGCTTGTCATGTTTACAACTTTCATTTGGTTCTACTGTTGCTCAGTTGCTGGCTTCCTTGTTCCGAAATATCACTTTCTACTCTCGTATAGCTAGCGCTCCTACAGGTTGTTCTGTATCAGTTGAAGCCAAGAGCTCGTTTTCATAATCCTTTTGGAGGTCATGCAGGACCAAATGGTCAATTAAAGAAAAAAGCCAGAGAGAAGTCTGGGAAATGATCCCACCTTGTACAAAGTGGCTGATGGCGTGACAGGTCTCGCTCTGTGTTTTGTACTCAGACAAATCACTCTATTTCAACCAATGAGAGCGCGCGTCATAACCGAACTTTATCGTAGATGTATTTAATATCAAGTCATATCAGAAGTGCAGGTTCTTCTTGACTATACTATATCACTGAACGTTTTATATTCTCTTGACTATATCCTGAACACCAGAATGGACTTGACATGGTATTGCTGGTAGTTACTGTTCTGACTGAATTGCTCGCAACTTTTAGCCGATAAAATTTCTTTTTCTGGCTTTTACTTTGGTTTCGAATTCGATGGGTTTGTGGAGGGGGGCATTGAGAACTCACAATGAGGA